TATTTATTTTTAGAATTCAGTAAAATTTAAGCTAAATGCGTGACCTCTCCGAGTTCGAAAAAGAGCAAATTGTTGGAGCTCGCATGGCAGGAGCCTCGATCACTAAGGTTGCTGAACTGTTTGGTTTGTCAAGAGCTACCATATCAAGAATACTGATGCAATTCGAGAAACAGGACAAGACCTCTAGCAACCGTAGCAATTCGGACCGGACTTGCAAATTTACTGACAAGGATTGACGTGTATTGAAACGCAATGTGACAAAAAATCATCGGACAAATGCGGCCAAAGTGACTGCTGAGTTGAATAACCATCTGAATAGTTCAGTTTCTATTAAAACTGTTCACCCTGAGCTCCATAAGGCTTCATATCATGGAAGAGCCGCTGTGAGGAAACCTCTTCTCTCCACTCGCAACATTAAAAAGAGGTTGAAGTGGTGCAGAGATCACAATGCCTCGTCTGTAGACCAGTGGAAGCAAGTCATATTCTCAAACAAATTCAGTTTTTCTCTTTTTCCAACTTCAGGGAGAGTTTATATGTGGAGGCAGCCCAAAGAAGCTTACAACCCTGACTGCCTTCTTCCAACAGTGAAGCATGGAGGTGGATCATTGATAGTTTGGGCCGCCATATCATGGAAATGCCTCAGTCCAGTAGTTGCCCTGCATGGTAGAATCAACAGCAAAGATTACCTGAACATTTTGGGAGATCATCCAATGGCCAAGACTTTATTCCCTGATGGTGACTGCATCTTCCAAGACGATAATGTTCCAATACAAGCTCGCGGGGTTAAGAATTGGTATGAAGAGCATAAAAGTGAGCTAGAACACAAGAAATGGCCTCCCCAATCTTAAGATATCAATATTATTGAACATTTATGGAGCAATTTGGAACAAGTTAGGGGCCTCTATTCTCCACCGTTGTGTAGTAAAGAGCTGGAGAATGTTTTAATGGAAGAATGACTGAAAATTCCTCTGGATGAAGTCAGGAAGCTGTATGATTCCATTCCTAGACGTATTAAAGCTGTCTGTGAGGCTAAAGAAGGACCAACATATTAAATAAATTTTATTTGAATTTAACAAGTGTTCCAATTATTTTGTCCAACTCCTGTATGTATGTGAATCTCAAACATATGGCCGTAAAATCAAAACTGTCTGTCATAGTAATAGTAACTTGTATCCGAGTATGCCTGTCTGTTAGGGCGGCTAACCAATCCCTATTTCAGACGCCTGCTCCGGCATATTTGAATTTGTTCAAAACCCACAGCGTCCACCTATGGTTTATACTGCAACTACTCTGAGCGGAAATTAGTAATAGTTTCTAGCATGATCAACACTCAGACCAAGAATGCTTAAACATTCAATCACGATAACTTGCGACTTCATGTTAGCTCTGTTAAGGACTCCACCCCTTTTTCATAGTGTGTACTTGTACTGCTGCCGGTGAATACCCGGGAGTAGGGGTGATACAGTCAGAGAGTGAGGGAGTGAGAGTGCGAGGTAACCGCTTTGTAGGAGTCACAGTTGCGAGCACGTAGACTCAGAAGGAAGTCTTATTTCGATACTGAATTTCCCAGGCTGTATATATATTATTATTGCTACTGACCGCATTTCTGGATCTACTAACCGTATTACCAATTGTATTATTACGTCAATACATTTATTTGCTATATTTCATTCTTGCGTTTGTCATTCATTTGCGACCGGATTTAATCCCGGAATCCACAACAAACTCAAACATTGACGGCTCACAAATACTTCCATCTACCCAATTGGACTTAAGGGTCAAACCGTGGCATGGTTTTCAGACACTTTCCAAAGATGCTACATGCTGGGATCGACTCGATAGCATCAAGAATTCACCTTCCTGAAAGACTGAACCCGTGTATCATAGTCAGAAAGCGAATGCTCTAACCACTCAGCCACGTGTCGGTAATAAATGTAGTAGAAACGTATGAAACGATTTCGCTCATCTTCCGTTTTATTACTTGCAAATATTAAAAAGAAACTGTTGAAGTGTAATCAGATCGATCATAATTTCTTTAAATAGATCATTCTTATATTTTCCGCCTCCCTTCTGGATGTGATCCACCATGGCTTCTCACAACAACCTATTCTTTGTAGCTCTAAGCAATATTTGTCTTTATCCCAATAGACAAAGGCCACCTTAAACTATAGTACTTTTTAATAAAGTTAAAATATGTTTAAAATATTTATTTATAGTAAAATTACGAGCAATGCATATTTATAGTAAAATTACCAACAATACCTATTTATAGTAAAATTGCCAATAATACATATTTAGACAAAAATGGCCAACAATACATCTTATCTGTATTTGAAGCCATACAATTGCGTTCAAAATATATTTATTTAAAGCCATAAAAGTCTGTTCAAAATATGTAGATTTCGGCATTATATAACCCATAACTCAAGATTCTAGATAAGAAAAACAGTTTTGATATACCGCGACACAAAATGAACCAAACCAACATGGAAGAACTCTTTCATGATATTAGTTCATATAAATATCCTACCATTTCTTAAAGAAATCAAACTGAATGCAAAGATCTCAGTCATCTTCTTCTTTATTGTTTTTAATGTTTAAAAAACAAAACCATTTGAAGTGTAATCAGATCGATTATAATTTCTTTAAATAGATCATTCTTCTATTTTCCGTGTCACTTCAGGACATGTTTCATCATGGCTCTTTACAACAGCCTGTTCTTTGTAGCCATAAGCATGTGTTTATATTTATCCCAAAAGACAAAAGCCACCTTAAACAATAATATTTTTTAATAAATTCATGTACCCTGGCCGTTTAAGACGTGGACGACTATGGCTCTTCACAACTTCCTGTCATTTTTAGCTCTTAGTAAGGTTTGTATTTTTGTTATCTCCCCTAATCTCTGTTCTGTCAAACATTTACACAAACTCTTTTTATGTAGGTTATTACTTGCTTTCCCCTGTCTCTCTTGCCTTCAATATGTCTTGTGAGTGTCAAGATATGATCAACAATGCACTTTGATAGAGACGAACAACAACAATGAAACTGTTGCTGACAATCATGAAGAGAGAGATGAAATTTTCTGAGGCTTATAATGAGGAAACATTGCTTAGAGAATTAAATACTCACAGGACATATAAAGGTGGAAAAACAGAAAGAAACCATGAGTAACTTGCTTGGTGTTAATGAGTGAATGGTTACCAGAAAAGAAACAAAGTGGAATAAAAAAAAGGAGCAAGAACAAGAAAAGACAGGAATTTGGGGAGAACTATGAAAGCTCATATCCTTTAAAAATGTCATATAAAAAAGTAAAAGAACAATGGTCGTGGTTCAAAGTACAACCTGAAGATTTCAATCAGTTATCAAAACATACCATACATTTTTAAAACAATCTGAAATATACCCTTTCGGGATGGCCATCAGCTGTCTTCACACGTTTTTCTCCACGTTTAACAGTCCTGGGTATGTCCATAAACTACATCCGATAGGAAGGCCTATGGTCGGTAGATTAGAAGTTTTGAGGAGGGTGGAGCCACTTTTTAATTGCAGTTGTTCCCAGGTCCAACCTGACCCGGGTGTTAGACCCCCAGCTATGGGTAAATAGTGAACTCCCAAACAGAAACAAAACAATATGTAAGTATAAAAATACATATTCATAGTAAAAATACCAGCAATACATTTTTATATAAAAATGACCAACAATACATATTTATAGTAAAATGAATAACAATACCTATTTATAGTAAAATAACCAGCAATACATTTTATCTGTAATATACCATCGCGTTTAATATATATTTAGTAGAAGCCATTAAATTCTTTTCAAATTATTTAGAATCCAGCATTAAATAATCGATAGATGTTGATATTCTGCAAAACAAAACGAAGTAAGCAACTAAATAACCAACAAGAATGAACTTTTATGGCATTAATCTATATAATATCCTGCAACTTCTTAAAGAAGTCAAACTATATTCCAAAATATAACTTCAACAAGATTACAACACAAAACACCCATTTCATCGCCTCTAGTAATTATGTCCACACAAATAGGTATATGCACAAAATCTGAGTATCATCTACCATGTATTCAATTGTGAAAGCAGAATAACATATATCCTATTTTTATTGCTTCAAAGCTCCAAAGAAAATTAAATTTCGACATTAAATGACCCGTGAGTAGTCGATATGCCGTCAAACAAACAAATCAAATCAATCAATCCACGTTTAACTTTGAAAGAAAATGGAATTCGTAACGATCCAAAATTTGATATGTAGAGCAGTTCTGACAGACATGGGTGCCGTGATGTTTAGTAGCAGTGGTGTATCAAGAGCAAGGTAATCTGACGAAGATCCTCCCTATTCAAACTGTTATTGAGTTCTGAACTTTTTCCTCCTTAGACTAGGTGACATTTGAAAGTAATAGAGCTTAGTTATTAAACAAATACCAGGGGTGGAAGGATTACTGTTTTTGTTTTTTTTTTTTTTCTGTTGTTTTTTTTGTTTTGTTTTTTTTTTTTTTAGTTTTTTTTTTTTTTTGGTTTTGTTTTTTGTAAGAGGCGGTTCTAAGGGCATTAGCGGAAATGAATGAAATAGAAAAGACCAGTAATTGAACTCGGCGCGCTGATTTCACTTTCCACGCCAATAAGCTCTTCGTACCTCGAGAGAAGAATATCTACCTTTTTCCCAAAAGGTGAATGCAACACAGTACAGACGCTCCTGCTGTGACACCTGAGTGCCGACTGAGTATAACCACGGGAACTTAACTGTTCACACATGCGTGGGAAAATCTTTTCTAACCGGTTACCAAGTTACATCAACGCCACGCAACTGGTTCGCGAGATATTCAAAACGGCTGGATAATTTTCGGACTGACCTCCTACATTCTAATATTAAAACATATGAGGAACATTATCGACAGAAAACACAAATGCTTGGAGGATTGCCCTTTGCTGCAATTACAAAGAAAGAAAACAAACGCGATACTCATAATAGCTATAATGATGGCTGTAACACAATTCTTTTATTCTTTTTTTTTCTTCCATATTGTTGCTAATAATACACCTAAAAACAAACAAAATGAGAGAACTGACTTGTTTGCGAGATGGTCCATCGAATAAACCGACTGAATAAAAGGAGGCCCCATAGATGGAAATTAACTGATACAAGCGCTATTGTTGTTTGCGCTGGCTATACAATAGCGTCAGTATTTCGGACAATGACGTTTGTAACGCTTGGTTAAGTCGGCAGGCTTTCTCAATTTAGGTGTGATGGACCGGTCTTTGTCTGACGACAGCTGTGGGTGTTTTGCAATCTAAATGGATAAATTGTCCACGCTCGGGTATTATGGAGTTACCCTGTTTTTGTTATTTTTATATATTATTACGTTTCTTTTTTTTCTTCTTTTTTTTTTTTTTTTTTTTGTTGCTGTTTTTTACTTATCTCTAACTTTTAGCTTCGCTAATATTATAAAAACAGAAACGTAAACGTTTCCTATGTCTGCACATAAATTTCAAACGTGAAAAAAATACGGTTATATTCATTCCCGTGTTCATCAAACATACGCATATGCACTGACCGCATTGGGAACGGGGTACGAAAAACTTGAATATACCGAGACATTTTGCAGAAATTTTTAAAGACGTTTTCCTCATTTCTCTAATCAGGAAATAAAATGGAAGAAAAAAATCTATACGTGAAATATTCAGAACTCAGTTTAGTCCAAAGGTATATCAATAAGTTCGTAGCGTGACACTGTTATGACCTGAATTTAAATCTAAATTGGTCACTAAATTGTATCATTTTAGTTTTTAGTCGGTTTGTTGGTGTAGATTTTGGACATTATTGATCAAACCAGAAAGCAATTTTCTTTGCTGAGGGAAACGATTTTAAATATGACATTGCACTTAATTAAACGGACATGGTCTGGTGCAAGGTTACAATAGTGAGGAAACCGTGGGAATATAAATCAATACATTGAGTGAGTCTGTGAAATTGCAATCTATCTATCTATCTATCTATCTATCTATCTATCTATCTATCTATCTCATTGACAGCATTACATATCGATTTATCTCTGTCTCTCTGTTTCTGTTTCTCTCTTTATATATATATATATATACATATATATATATATATATATATGGGGGGGCGTGTGTGTTGAGAAAAAGAAAGAAGAAAAAAATGCCGAAATTCTTCGACCGAGTCGGCCCCTTAAGTTGGGAGTCGTCCCGACGACCTAATAGGTATATATTTCTCTGTGTGTTTGTGGCAAGGGCGGGGGTAGCGTCCGGCCATAAAGTACAGTCCATCCGCTAATGTCTGCAAACACGAAAAGGTGCGCCGTTTCTCATTAAGCTAATGTATATTGGAGGAAAGCAGAATTCAATGAAAATGTAAGGTAAGGTTCGGAAAGCAAATATACCTGAGTCTTTTTTTTCACTTGTCGTAACATCATACAATATATATATATATATATATATATATATATATATATATATATATATATATATAATGGATTCTCCCGTCGATTTCGACGTATGAGGGTCTGACAACTTAATTGATTCAGTTATAAAACCTTGTGCGATAATCTTAAGACCCGCTAGTGATTTACAAAAAAGGCCGCATATGGAGCAAGAGTGGGGATTGTGGGATGAGATCACTGTTAGATTGGATAACCTTTTAGATATTGCTCTCGCTTCTTGAAGAGTGAAAACTGCTGAATCCACTTAAACACGTTCACCACCTTTCTACCCGCCCCAAGGCTAAGCGCTCAAGGGTGTTATAAAGTATATTGACAGCTGACAAGTTGCTCTTTGTGTCTTAGCCATGGGCGTCCTACATTCCTGTAACCCTGATCTAACTGGCTATATATTAGGATCTTGGGTATTCTGTCATCAGACTTTCTCAAGACATGACCAGTCCACTGTAACTGAGACTGAATGAGAAAAGTCTCGATTCCTCCAATATTACACCTGTTAAACATGTCTACGTTAGGTGTCCTATCTTGAAGGTTAACTCCACAGATTGCACGCAGACAGCTTTTATGGAAAGCATCCAGCTGCCGTATATTGTACCCGTATGAAGTCCATGACTCTGAGCTGTACAAAAGGATGGCAAGTACAACAGCTCTGTAAACCCGAATTTTCGTATCCAGTCGAATACCCCGCTCATTCCACAATTCATTCCTATATATATATATATATATATATATATATATATATATATATATATATATATATATATATGTGTGTGTGTGTGTGTGTGTGTGTGTGTGTGTGTATAAATTAACTGATTAAAATTATGGTTTCTTCGCTACACAGAATGACCATGTTTCAAAAACCGAAGTTAAAAAATCTCAAATTTAATTATATATTTAAATTAAAAGCATTAGTTCTGTTTCTTCTTCAAGCGAATTCTAGAATAACATATTTTTAAGTCATTCCAAAATTCGCTTGAATATGAAACAGAACTAATCATCTTAATTTAATTGCATAATTAAATTTGGAGTTTTTAGGTTCGGTTTTTGAAACATAGTTATTCCTGTGTAGCGAAGAAACCATATTTTAAATCAGTTAATTCATAATATTTATGCTCTGTAAATTTACATTAAGCACTGTTTTGTAAAAATACAAATATCAATAAGAACACCGGATTATATATCTTACTATTCTTTCTTTTTGTTATCACACACACACACACTATATATATATATATATATATATATATATATTGTAAACATATCGCCATTCAAACATATTTCATTAAATAATTTAGACATATTGTGTCTATTTATTTTACAGTGATTCTTTCCAGTTCTCTAATCAGTTTCTTGATGCTAAGATGAAATTCATCAAGGAAGGCACCGTAGCTTTTTCGAACCCAAGTACTTTTGATCTTTTCCAAGATTATCTTCAGGGGGTAAAATGCGAAGATAAACCTATTGGAACTACGATTAAATCTGCATTACTGGTTTCAAGAACACTTAAGACGAATATGGACATAGAGAAGCCGAGGAGGAGCAATGAAAAATAAACTCGACTACATAAATGTTAACAAGAGATTCGGGAACGCATTTGTAAACTGCAAAACCTATGCAAGTGCCTTCCGTGGAAGCGATTTCCTCCCATTTACATGTAGACTTAGAGGCAAACTACGAAAAGTGAATTGGCCTAAGGCAGCACCGAAATTGCAATGCGACACATTCTTGAACGATCCGAATTTAAAGGAGAAATGTATGGATGGCATGAAAAGCAGATACGAGGGACAAAAGGAAAATGGAGACTCGAAGTGCGACGCAAGAGAAGATTTAGTCGCATCAGCAAACGAGATCTCTCTAAATAAGTATTGTCTTTATTTATAAACCCTGTTCTGCCATCCATATTCTCAAGCACGTTGGGTATGCTATACGTTGTTTTTCTTTGATCCTTTGCTCTAAATCTGTCTTGTGCGTAGCAGATTTTCCAAGCCCTTCTTTCACATTATATGCCCCAGAAATTTCAAATCTCTCTTCCTGATGTTAAGTATAAGTTATGTTTTTGCTTCTATTTAAAAATTTATAAAACCTCGTCATTGCTCACATGTTCGGTCTATGGTATTCTCAGCATCTCAGCAAAGGAAAATAGACGAAGAAGAAAAAAAATGAATGGATGACAGACGAGATTCTTGACATTATGAAAAAGAGATAAAAAAAACAAGGTCATGACTCGGGACAGAATATAGAACAATGAAATAATGAACAAAAGCAGACAGGCCAAATGGCTGAAAGAAAAATGTGCAGAAATAGAATGAATGAGTATCACAGATAAAGTATATATGCATATAAAAAATAAGAACTAACAAGAAAAAAGACATGCTAATCAACAGGATGTATAAAATCCAAGATGGGAACAATGATATTAGAGAAAGAAAAATACTTCAGAGAGGAAACGAATATATCGGAAATCTCTTCCACGGCGATACAACCGGCAATACACAGAAATATCGACGGACCGGAAATATTAAAAACCGAAGTGGAAGTAGCACTGGCCAAATTGAAGAGAAACACGGTTGCAGGGTCAGACGGGATCGCAAGAGAAACGCTAACAACCTTAGATGATTTCGCTTTTCATTACAGAAATAATAAATGAACTCTTCAACAGTGGTGATATACCGGAAGATCTCAACAGATTTATTTTCATAGCACTGCCTAAGAAACCAGGCACAAGCGAATGGGAACTCCATTGAACAATCAAGCTAATGAGCTATATAACAAAACTTATCACCCAAATTCTGATGAATAGAGCGCCCAGCAAAATCAGACCGGAGATTGAACAAAACCAGTGCTTGTTCGTCAAAGACACTGGAACAAGGAAAGCGATATTTATGCTCAGAATGTTATCCGAAAGTTAAAAATCCAGAAGGACCCACAGATGCGTTTTATAGATTACCCAAAGAGGTTCAATAGAGTACGCCTTCTGGAACTGCTCACCAGCCTTGGCATATTTGGGAAGCATAGAATAATCAAGAACCTATGCTGGCAGCAAACCGCGTGCATACGGAAAGAAAATGAGTTCAGGAGCTACACAAAAATAGAAAGTGGTGTAAGACAAGGATGTGTCTTCTCACCAGACTTATTCAACTTATACAGTGAGATGATTCTGAGATAATTAGATGCCCTACCAGGATTCAGTAATGGCGGTCACAACTTTAAGAACATACGCGTACGATATGCAGATAGTACAGTGTTCTTAGCAGAAACAGGAAAGAAAACTAGTAAATCTCCTACAGAAGTTAGTGAAGGAAAGCAAGATAAAAGGACTAAACATAAACGGCAAGAAGCCGGAATGTATGGTTGTTAGCAAAATGCAAATTACAAATCGGAGGTAGCAAAATCAACCAAGCAAAGTAACTTAATTGAGGACGAATAAAGTGACAATGAAATCGAAAGACGCATTGGGAAAGCGAAAGATGCCTTCCAAAAGCTAAGCAAAGTATTGCGAGACAGAAAAAACTTCGTTAGAAACAAAGAAAAGAATACTGAAATTTTATGTGATATCTGTCCTACTGTATGGAAGTGAATGCTGGACAATTTTCTCACAGATAAAGAAGAGACCTGAAAGAACAGAAATGTGGTTCTACAGAAAGATGCTGAGAATACCATAGACCGAACATGTGATCAACGACGAGGTTTTTAGATAAAATAGAAACAAAAAAATAACTTATGCTTAACATAAGGAAGAGAGACTTGAAATTTCTGGGGCACATAATGTGGAAGGAGGCCCTGGAAAATTTGTTACGCCCATGAGAGATTAAGAGCAAAGGGACAGAGGAAATCAACACATAACATACCCAACGTACTTGAGAAATTGGATGATGGAACAGGGTTTAGAAATAAAGACAATATTTAGAGCTGCAAGGAGCAGGAAATAGTGGAGAGCCATAATCGCCTACGTCCGAAGAAGAATACATATATCAGAGACGTTATCTCATATATGTCCCTATCTCACTAATTTCATCTATCTATCTATCTATCTATCTATCTATCTATCCCATTGACTTATTTACATAGTATGTATATATATATATATATATATATATATATATATATATATATATATATATATTTATGTAAATAAGTCAATGCAAGACTCTTCGGTAAATCGAATCGAGTTCTCTCAGTCACTTTGTGTTTATCTAAAAAATAAATATTCTTGAATTCACCAACAGCTTAGTGGTAGAATCCCTGACTGACGCCAATTCAGTCGGGTTTCAATCATTAGCTAGAGGCAACCGGACGTCTAGCCACACTGATGAGCTGTGATACAGCGAAACAGTCTGTCTGTAGATAACAATATATATATATATATATATATATATATATATATATAGAGAGAGAGAGAGTCAACCACAGACATACTGTTTCGCTATTTCACAGCTCTTCAGTGAGACTAGACCTCCGATTGCTTCAAGCCGGGATGGAAACCCGACCGAGTTGACTATCGTCGCACGGCAGAGAGAAAGGGAGATATGAACGTTTTCTGTACGAATTACGCCAAGAGCCAGGAGAGCTCAATTCATATTTGAAGAGCACTTCTTAATAGCAGTAGGAGCCACTGTTTTTAAAATCACGCTTTTCTCCCGAGAGCATATATAGAGTCACCCACAGACAGATTGTTTCGCTCTATCACAGCTCTTTAGTGTGGCTAGATATCCGATTGCTTTAAGCCGAGATCGAAACCCGACCGTTTTGGCATTGATATCCTACCCCTAGAGAGAAAGGTAAATTTTAACTTTTCTATACGAAATACACTAGTAGCCAAGGGAACTCAATTCACAGTTGAAGAGCAATGCGTCAATAGCAGTAGCATCCAGTGTTTTTAAAATCACACTTTTATCGATTACGCAATTTCATATCTATCTGTGTCAGTAATTTCACCAATATCTCTTTCTGTTTGTCTATCTATTTACCTATTTATGTATTTATCATACTGACTTCATTTAATACCCCACGGACGTTATCGGATATCTATCTCAATGACGTTATCTATTTATCTATCTATAATGATAATAAATATGTATTTGCGTCTCACCATTAGTTACAACTCAGAGAGTTTACTCGATGTAAAATAACAGATCTAAATTTTTATTTTACAGTGAGCACAGTTTTAGTAACGCCATGCAAGGTAGTAAAGCCACTGAGACACAACGGATTACTGGGTGTGAAAGAGTTAGAAACAAGGACATTGCTAAGGAGCGAGAACAGGGGAAGATTAATCAGGAGGACAACAGATATTGATTGATATTGTATTTAAACATTTTTGTGAGTAAATCTTTTATTACAGATTTTAGTGAAACAGATGGCGAATGAAAAGTGTTCTTTTTACCCTGTCGTTGTGAAATTCCCTCCTCCAAGTTGTGTTCGTAATAACGATTTTTTTTTTCTTTGAAAATTAATTCACAAATGAAAACTCAATCTACTAGGCTTTCAGGCTTATCTTTTAATAAGAACATTCGAAGATGTAATTTTTCTTTCTTTTCAAACACGACAGACGATAACTGAGAGCAGCGAGGAAAACTTTAATTAAATAGGAACAATCGGTATAAAACAATACAAGCTTCACACCAAATGAGAAAGAGGGTTGGGAGAACCTAACACTCATAGGGCATATTGAACGCACGCGAAACAGAGCGAAAGAGTTTGTCTAACTGAATTGCAGAACAAGGACATAGGGGGTTATTGAAGAGTAAGTTGTTTTGAGTAAGAAATCTCAGGAAGTTGTGGCGGGCTATGATAGTCCACATCCTGATAGTCAAAAATTTGTCAGATAAAAAACTCAAGAGGAATTGATAATATTTTTTTTATCGAGTTCACCCCAAGCAAGAGAGTAAAGCCACTTAGATACAAGTGCGTGTGGAAGAGTTTGAAACAGGAACATTGCTAATAGCGAGAATGAAGGAAGAGTAATCAGGATGACAGTAGATAGCGATTGACTTTGTATTTAAATTTTTGCTTATTAAAGCTGGCTAGAAACCACGTAGCCGGAAGGGATGGCCGGAAGTGAGAAATGCGAGAAAAGAAACTGCATGCCAAACCCTGTCGAAAGCTTTCGAGATATCTAAAGCTACAACCCTGTCTTCACCATTTTTTATCTAGAACTTGGCATACTCTTTCCACGTTATTAGTACATCACCAGTTGACCAGGATCACAACATGCAAGCCACCAATCTGCCACTGGGTGGTATGCCACTAGCGTTTACAGCTGGTGGCCCGCTGTCGGATCACCGGCGTGTTCGTCTCGGCAATGCTACCATTGGCGGATGACTAGAGGCCCATCGGTAGCTGCTACCAGAGGACAGTGTTGCCATCGGCGGCCAGCCAGCATGTCACCAGCGGCTTGCGTAGAGGGGAAAGCCATATTGCTTGTCTGAAATAAAAGCCCTGCGATATGAGATGCTTAACAAATTCAGCATTGATTAGGATCTCTAAGAGTTTCCCCATCAGAGGTAGAAGGCGAATGGGCCGATAATTGTAACGGCCAGACGGTTCAACCTAGTTCTTAAAAACTGTGGCAACAGATGAGGACTTCCAGCAGAAAACAAGAGGCAGCGAGGCACTTATTATTCAGTTTAGAGAGAACAGGAACCATATTGGGAGAACCCTTCTTAAGGTCTATTATAGATATATCATCAGGTCCGTGTGCTTTTTGGGGAACAATGTTCGAGGTAGTATCAGAAACCATAGAAGAGGCCATATGCATATTACCCAATAGTTCTAAGTCGGAAGTTACGCAGGGATGCTCCAGATCTTAAGGAGAATTTACAGGTGAAACGTTCAGCTTTATCTGCAGAAGATATTAACACCTCAAATCGATTGAAGAGAGGAGGAAAAATAACTTGCACTTATTTAATAGAGTATTACAGATCCGCCAGTAATCAGTAGAGGCAAAGTTGTTAGATGCAATCCGGGGCATCATTCTCTTGGCAAACAGAAACTTCGCTCCTTTAAAGACTCGTTTATATTTATTACGAGAAGCAACGAATAGGGGTCTGTTGTGACGGGAGCTGTCGCGTTGGATTAGCCGAAAATAGTGGTTCCTGTGGCAATAGCGGCAGAGCATCCCGAGGTGAACCATAGAGAAGATTGAGGTTTCACTTGGTAATTTCGAGAAGTAATGAAAGCATCCATACCGGCCTAGATCCTAGAGGAAACCTCATTGGCATAATTCTCAATTTGAATGTTAAAAATGTCAGTCCACCGTGTGAGTGGGGGTGACAAAGAAACTTACGGAGTGAGTCTCAATCAGCAGGTTGGTAACAGAATGAGTTCTTACGAATAGGAGGTTCCTAATTAACAGACGACCGGAACGAAATATGAATAGATACTACTGAGTGATTCGAGTTTACAAGTGGGCATTGTTGCGATGCACGACAAGAGCAAGAAGAGGCGGTGAGAAATAAATCAAGTAGAGAGGCCTTTTGCTCGGGTATGCTAGAGAAACGGGTAGGGAAATCCACGATTTGAGCAAGAGATTGAACAATGAAAAACCAGAATACCAGCAACATCAGTAATGTTAAAATGTTTAACCCATGTGTCGTGGTACGCATTATAATCACCGAAGACGACGGTGTTCGCAGATGGAGGAAGAGAGAGTGAGGTCTCTATACTGACAGAGATTATGTCTAATATGCCGCAGTCCTGAGAAGAGGGGGAGTGATAATGGAAAAAGAGATGGCTAACCAAGCGTAATAATGAAAGTCAAGAGCACATGAAAGAATTGTCTGGCAACTCGACAGACAATTCCTTTATCATCGGAAGATTATCCCGGATGTAAACACCAAGGCCTTGCTTTTGAATACTGGAATCTTTTCGACAAAGGGGAAATAGCCTGGAACAAAGAATTCATTGATATCAATGCCAGAATGTATGTTTATTTCGCAAAGTGCAAGGATATCCTGCGTCTTTTCGATGAGAAAAGATTCTATAAGGTGTTTCTCATGTCTGGATACATCGGCAAAAAATGCATATTTTCAAGTAAATGACATACTGAACACTATTGATCTGGAATATTAACAAATAACATTTTCAATATGATTTTTTGATACAAAGTTGACGTACTTCGCAAGATTCACGTGAATTCGTTGCAATAACTCCATATTGTCTTCAATTTTAGCACATTCACACTATGCATTCAATCAAGTGTGTTGCATCTGTGATTTTCTTTGATTACACTTTCTCTTTTAGCATACCCCAGAAAATAAGTCAATTATTTCTTCTTTCGACAAAACCATGTTGGAGGTCAAGAAATATAATTAATGAGATTTCCTAATTGTCCCGAATTTAGGGACACCTTGTATACCGCTGAAGTTGGAGTGGATATCATGAATATAATGTGCATTTATTTATCCATTTGAAATCTAATCAATTGTAACTTTCACTCAGGAAGCCTCTTGTAGCACATTGTTTAACAAACCAGTCTGGTGGACCATTCGTTTGCACACCATCGAAGTCACAAATCAAAAGCATGAAAACATAGTGTCTCTTATTTTCAACACCAAAGAAATTCGCTTTCTGTAATGATCAAAAATGTTCCATAAATCCTGTTACAAAATAATAAAACGTAATTATTTACAAGTTGTCTGTTTCTTGAGAGAAAAAAAAAAGATCAGGGCAAGGTTATATTTGCCAGACATATACTTCGTCTTTGATTTATTGGTAATTTTTGTCCTCTTCTTCCATCCATTTCAACCCCCAACCCAGCCCGCCAAAAAAAAAATGTCTTTAATTTTCCATCATAATACCAATAAAATTGTTTACGCCGTCGATCTTTTTTTCTCTTTTCTTTCTTCATTCCTGATGCCTGATTCTCGCCGGCTTTGAAACAGTCTTTATATAAAATATCGGAAGAAAATAGTCCCTCTTTTTTGCATTCGTCAGAAATTGTATGAAAACCAATTTGTAGATATTAACTCAGAAACTTTTTTTTACTTGTCACAATAAGTAATTGAATAAAATAGAATAATGATTTTCCTACTTATTATCACTTTTGCTTAATAAAATTGAGTTTATTCAATTTTATCGGTTTTTTTTTTCTATCTTAAATAGCAGTTCGAATGAATCAATTCTCATTTTTCCCTTTCAGATCTCGCATTAAAAATGTTTACCATAACAATTTATTTCAAACGACCAACTTCCATTTCAGTTTTAATTTTATTTTTAATACATTTATTTTAAAGAGAAAAAAAAGCAAAATATTTCTGTGCCTCGTCTTGTTCCATAATAAAGCTGATGTATCCGTATATAAGTCGATTTAATTCTCGAGTAAAGGTCGTTCTAATTTTCTTAGAATCGCCCACGATTTTCAAAAGATGAGTGAGATCCTCATTATCGGCAAACTCTTTCTTTCGGAAATATCGACAACATGTGAGCAACGGAGAACATTTTAACCTAAATGGAAACGAAGAGCATACTTGCACTTCAAAACAGAAAGAAAAAAAGAGCTGTAATTTCTCAGATACATAATAAAGACAGTGGGTGTGCAGAAATTGACACACCGAGAACATATTGAAAGCTAAAGCGGCTGAAGATTAGCCTGCCCAAGAACTTATCTTAATGGGTGGCAGAACAAAGACTGGGAGGTGTAATAAGAGGACAAACCTTACTTAGGATTACGAAGGATAGGAAGTTGTGGAGAGCCAGGAACTTAAATGAAAAACTAGTTAACAGCAGCAAATATTTCTGATTCTATATACACTACCGTAATTTTGATTTACCTCCCCATTTCGGATATTCATATGCAGTATTCGTGTATTCGTCGAGCCACAAAAAAAATGAGGCTAATATTTTCGAAAAGTTGTTTTTAAAAAGATAGATATAGAGAAATAGAAAGACAAAAAACGTTGATCATAGATAAATATGAATAGCCTGATAAAAATGAAAGATATAAGGAGAGAGTGAAAGAAAGTGAATGATTGAGTTGCTGAATTAGGTTATGTTATGATGTTGATTTGGGGTTAGTAGAGACAAACACCAAATAACACGTAACAATAAAAAGGGTTTTAATAGGTTGATAATAAGGTACAGAAATCGCCTGAGTAG